CTGAAGGACCTGGCGCACCAAGTGTGACTGAGTCAGGGTGATGGTGCGCGCAGCTCTGTCCCTGGAGATCTGCAAGCCAAGGTAACGGCGCAGTTCTCCAAGGTCAGTGCAGGTGTGTCTCTTCAGCAGCTCTGCCTTCACGGAGGCCAGCGCGTCCCTGTCTGCTGTGGCAAAGACCAGGTCGTCGACGTAAACGAGGATGTAGAAAGGAGTCTGGCCAGCACGAACGAAGAGTGAAGGGTCTGCAGAAGACGGAAAGAACTGCAGGTCAGCAAGCGTAGCACGCAGAGTGTCGTGCCACTCACGGGGAGCCTGGCGCAGGCCGTAGACGGGGCGCCGCAGGAGCCACTGGGTCCCAGGAGGGAAGGTGCCAGTAAAGCCCGGAGGGCGGCGCAGGTAGACCTGCTCGTGTAGGCTGCCCTGAAGGAAGGCAGTGGAGAAGTCGAGGGAGTGAAGCTCGTAGTCACGCTGAGCAGCTAGGTGTAACAGAACCCGAAGAGTAGTCATCTTCGGGGTCGGAGCGAAAGTCTGGAAGAAGTCCACCCCCTCGCGCTGACTGAAGCCTCTAGCCACATAGCGCGCCTTGAAGACAGGCGGCTCTCCAGGAGGGCGCTTCACCTTGAAGAGCCAGCGGCCATCGACTACGTTCACCCCAGGTGGGGGAACTGCGTCGACGAAGGTGCCGGTGGATCTCCAAGATGCCATCTCCTGCTCCATGGCAGCTATCCACTGCGAGGCCCAGGGTCCCGAAGTCGCCTCAGCGTAAGTGCGAGGGGTCGGGATGTCGAAAGCGTCTGGGTCACCCTCAGGGACTAGCAGCATGGAACAGAGATGGGGAGCAGCCTCGGAGAGGAAAGCAAGCTCGAACTGGCGGTCCTCCAGGACGTCACTGCCAAGGGCAGGAGCACCCCCGACAGACGGAGGACAGGCAGGGTCAGAGACCAGAGCGGTGGCGTAGTCAAGGCGGCGGGTAGAGGCGAAGTCAGCGACAGCAGCGACAAGAGCGTCAAGGCACAAGACTGGAACAGACGGGTCGGTAACGAGAGAGGCAAGGACCCGAGGAACGAGAGGACGAGCGGCACGAAGGTAGTCGGACAGCGGGGGGGGCGCAACAACAAGGGAGGACGGAGGAGGTGACGGCAGAAGGGGAGGACGAGACGCGTGTGAACGAAGCAACATAGGGTGGGAGCGCAGGACAGGCGAGGCAGGACGAGCACGGGAGGGACGGTGAGACCAGACGTGCGATGGAGGAGTCGGGTCAGGAGACAGGGGAGGGGACACAGGAGGGGAACAAGGGGGGAGACGGGCCGGGGACGAGTCCGGCGGAGGGAAAACAGGGCCGTAGACAGGAAGAGGGGGAGACGGTCGGGGAGGAACCGACGCAGGGTCGACCAAGGACAAGACCGTGCTGGGACATGTGACGCAGACGCGGGAGCGCAGGGTGACCTAGGCGGTGGTGCCACAGGAGGGTCGGGTGAGTGAGGGAGCGACAGGAGCAGGCAGCAGCAACCTGGGTAGACACAGCCACCTGAGGGGGCGCTCCAGCCGGGGGGGGCACGGTGTCTAGAGTGAACAGGCCGGACACCGGGTCCCGGGGGAACGTGGACAGGGGGGCACCAGTGGCGGCCTCGGTACAGACAGCATACCGCTCGTGACCAGGGAACGTAGTGGTGACGCCAAGGTCCTGGAGGCAGCCGACACCAACTAGGTTCCTGGAGAACGAGGGGATATGCAGACCTGTAAGAGAGCCCGAAGGAACCGCCGGACAGGGAAGGGTGGTGGAACTGCGGGCGACTACCGGGCCGCCGGAGGGGTCAGCAAGAGAAACGGCAGCAGGAACAGGAAGCGGCGTCAGGGTGGTGGAGTCGCGGAAGAAACACCGAGAGGCGCCAGAGTCCAAGGTGAAGGAAAGGGAAGCCGAGGGGTCTGGCGACGGAACGACGGCAGAAGCACCAAGACTACACAAAGCAGGGGATCCTACGCCTGACACAGCAGGGGAGGCTAAGCTAGGCACACCTACACTAGGCAACAGTGAGTAATAAGTCGGAAGCACACTAGAGTCATCAGCATACATCACATGCAGAGCAGAAACAATGGCATCCATGTCCATATCAAAGATCTGAATCTGACGACTAAGCAAACTGTGCCAGTCCGGGAGGTCTGGCGACGGGCCGAAACGCTGACGAAAGAGGTCGTCCAGGCGACGAAAGCAGCGGGGAGTGGAGTGACCGATCATACCGCAAACGAAACCGCGGCGAGGACCGGTCTGGATCTGGTACTGACAACGCCCGCCGGCAGAGCCACCACGCGGCACACCACCACGCGCCCGTCCACCGCCAGCGCCGGGCCACCCTGGCGGGAGAACACTCGTCTGCCGCGTCTGCGACGGCTGCTGCGGCTGCTGCGAAGGCTGCGACTGCGGCGGCTGCTGCGGCTGCTGCAACTGCAGGGGCGGCGACTCAGCTGGACTGGGCAGGGTCCCCTCGTCCGCTCCAGCACCAGGCGACCCGACCCCACCACTACCCCCGCCCGCACCCCCGCCGCCCCCTCCGCCGCGCCCAGCCTTGGGGCGGCGGCCCTTCCCAGAACGGGCCTGCGCTGCAGCAGCAGTCTCAGCCACTGCGGCAGAGCCGTCGGAGAAGGTACACTGAGCGGGGGCACAACCCTGAAAGATAGGGACCGGCACGACACCGCTCGCCTGGGCGATGGAGCGGTGATGGGTCTCTATCACAGTCAGGGTGTCGACAAAGTCAGTGAGGGTGAGGTCTGCGGGGTGAACACTAAGGAAGCGGTCGCGGGCGACAGCAAGGCGGTCAGGGAGGCGGGTGGCAAGCAGGTAGAGGGTAGAGGTAATGGGCGGCTGGTGGGCTCTAAGCTGTGCGTCAGTGCATGCGGCGCGCCAGGTCTCCTCTATCGAGCGCAGGTGGGCAGCGAGGTCAGAGACAGTGGGGAACGAAGCAAGGTCAGGAAAGAGCAGCGGGAGGATCAGGCGACCCACCGAGGCAGCCGGAGGGGTGGAATAGCGCTTGATGACAGCATCTAAGTATGCCTGAGCAGTAGTGAGGGACCTAAAGCGAGGACGCTCGGACGGGGGGAGGGCGTTGCTAATGGCAAGCTGGGCGACAGCATCGCGAGAAAGCCAGACAGAGCGCGCACGGGCAGTGGCAGCAGTAGACTCACGCTCAGTGGGTGTGGGGTCAGCGGGCAGAATAGCAGGAGGGTCTGGGCAGGGGAGCGTACCGTCAAGGTGTGCGGAAAGCGGTTCACCATCCTGCCGCTGGCCAGTGAGTTGGCGGCGGAGGTCGGCAAGCCACGCCTCGAACTCTAGGGGCTGACCTTCAGCGTCGAAGCGAAGCTCCGCCGCCATCAGGAACAGTCCAGTGCTGTGCAGGGCGGTGCAGCTAGGTGGGGTGCGGTGCAGTGCGATACAGTGCGGTGCAGTGCGGTGCAGTGCGGTACTGTGCGGTACAGTGCGGTGCAGTGCGGTGCAGTGCGGTGCAGTGCGGTACAGTGCGGTGCAGTGCGGTGCAGGGCAGGGTGGGGGGGGGGGGGGGGGGACCGTACCAGTGAGGAGGACGGGGCCGGGGCTGGCCCGACGGGGCCGGGCTGGTGCGACGGGGCCGGGCGAGCGCGGCAGGGCCGGGCCGGTGCGACGGGGCCGGGCGAGCGGGACGGCGGCCGGGCTGGTGCGACGGGGCCGGGCGGCTGTGACGGGGCTGGGCAGGGTGCGACGGGGCCGGGCGGGTGCGACGGGGCCGGGCGGCTGCGACGGGGCCGGGCGAGCGCGACGGGCCGGGCAGGGTGCGACGGCGCCGGGCGGGCGCGACGGGCCGGCGGCGGCGACGGCGCCGGGCGGGCGCGACGGGGCCGGGCGGCGGCGACGGGTCGGGCGGGCGCGACGGCGCCGGGCAGGCACGACGGGCCGAGCGGCGGCGACGGGTACGACGCGGCCAAGGAGGGGCGCTACGGGGCCCAGGAGGGGCACGACGGGGGGCCCAGGAGAGGCGCTACGAAGCCCAGGAGGGGCGCGACGAGGCCCAGGAGGGGCGCTACGGGGCCTGGGAGGGGCGCGACGGGGCCTGGGAGGGGCGCGACGGGGCCCAGGAGGGGCGCTACAGGGCCCAAGGAGGGCGCGACGGGGCCCAGGAGGGGCGCTACGGGGCCCAGGAGGGGCGCGACGGGGCGCTACGGGGCCTGGGAGGAGCGCGACGGGGCCCAGGAGGGGCGCTAGAGGGACTGGGAGGGGCGCGACGGGGCCTGGGAGGGGCGCGACGGGGCCTGGGAGGGCGGTACAGGGCCCAGGAGGGGCGCTACGAAGCCCAGGAGGGGCGCGACGAGGCCCAGGAGGGGTGCTACGGGGCCCAGGAGGGGCGCGACGGGGCGCTACGGGACCTGGGAGGAGCGCGACGGGGCCCAGGAGGGGCGCTAGTGGGCCTGGGAGGAGCGCGACGGGGCCTGGGAGGGGCGCGACGGGGCCTGGCAGAGGCGCTACGAAGCCCAGAAGGGGCGCGACGGGGCCTGGCAGGGGCGCTACGAAGCCCAGGAGGGGCGCTACGGGGCCTGGGAGGAGCGCGATGGGGCCCAGGAGGGGCGCTAGGGGGCCTGGGAGGAGCGCGACGGGGCCTGGGAGGAGCGCGACGGGGCCCAGGAGGGGCGCTAGGGGGCATGAGCGGAAGCGGTAGGTGGGGGGGGGGGGGGATCCTACCTACGCGTGATACCATATCAAAATAATTGAATAATGGTGAAGTGAGAGTACACACAAATATATCTAAGTTTTGTATCCTCTAAGAGGTGACTCTATACAGTCTATACAAACATGACAAATACACATGTTTGACAGTCTACCATTCCAGCAAAGATCCTTGCTCAAGTCTTGAAGTATCACAATGCTGTAACACTGATTTTGGTGTTACAACTTGTTAATACTGGCTATTACTGGAGGTGCTTCCAGTATTACTTTCTACTTCAAGAAATCGTGTTTGCAGATTCTATACATGGTAGTATCCTGCACCACTTTTCCATTTCTTACAAACTAGGGCTCGAGAACCTCGCTGAATAATCACAGCTATAAGGGTGGTGAATCTCAGTTTCGCAAGTGACGTGGCACCACTGATCATGGCATCACATCGATCGTGGTAACCCTGCTCACAATCCTGCACAGCTGGCAATTCCTCAACAAGGCCAACCCTGTGACTGTATGCTCCTCTACCTGACTCAACCTTACTCCCCCTTACGCTACCCTACATAGTATTTTATGAGTGTCCCTCTTATCAAACAGAAGACGGTGTACACACGTTATACAGACGCCGGCAAAGTGTGTGCTTCCACCGCTGGTCTGCACCCCTCTTCCTCCCCTCCATCACCCTCCTCCTCCCCTCCCTCCATCTCCCTCCTCCCTTGATTTCAGGTGTTTGGAAACGTCGCGCGGGCACACGTTACACAGACGCCGGCACAGCCTGTGCTTCCACAGCTGGCCTGCCCTCCTCTTCCTCCCCTCCATCACCCTCCTCCTCCTCCTCGCCCTCCCTCACTGCTTTCCAGCACGGCTTATTCGCCCCCCCTATCCTTGCCTCTGCTGCCACCGGCACACCTGGGGTGGAAGAGGGACGTGAGGAGAAAGGAGTTGGTAGGAGTTGGTGGTGTTTACTTCAGTCCAACAACAGAGAACCCCCCTCCTCGTCACCCTCCCTCACTGCTTTCCAGCATGGCTTATTCGCCCCCCCTATCCTCGCCTCTGCTGCCACTGCCACACCTGGGGTGGGGGGCTGAGGTGGGACGGGAGGAGATAAGGAGTCGGGGGAAAGGAAGGAAGAAGTGAGAAAGTATTTAACTCCTGGGGGGAGAAGGGAGGACGAAGAGAGAACGTATATAACACCTGGGGGGAAGTGAGAAAGTATTTAACACTTGGGGGGAGGGGAGACAGGGCGAAGTGAGAAACTATTTAACACCTGGGGGGAGGGAGGGAGACAGGACCAAGTGAGAAAGTATTCAACACCTGGGGGGAGGGAGACAGGATCAAGTGAGAAAGTATTGCTGCTGAGAAATGGAATGCAGCACCCTAGCAACACCCCCTTCTCTCCCCCCCTTATCAGCTTCAGTGTCCTTGTCAGTAAACACTGCTTCAGCTCCCCATCCCCCTCCTTCACTGCTTCAGATACACCTTACCCTCCCCCCTCCCTCCTCCCCCCCCCCCTCTCTCCCCCCTTCCCCCCGCTCCCCTCCTCCTTCCCCCCCTCTCCCGTGCTGCAAGGGCGCCTCCCCTTTAACCCCGTACTTATAAAAAGCCTTAAGGCCCCCTTCATTACACGCACCTTGCTGGTGGAATATCCCCCACACTGTGGCCGTGCGCCCAGTCTGCACAGACGCCGCAGGGGATGTGATTACAGCGGGGGGTCAGAGGTGGTAAGAAGAGTGTGATAGCAGGGAGGGAGGTGGGGAGGAGGGGCGGAATCAGAAGGCGACGCTGAGATAAAGGATATCTTATCAGTTATCAGACGGCTAAGCAGGGATAAATGATACTATGTCAGTTAGCGGCTAAGAAGAAACTTGGCTAGGAGGGGGAAGGGGAGGAAGTGGGGAGAGGGGGGGGTGGAGTGGAGAAGGGGGGGAAGGGTGGAAGGGGGGGGTTTCTTCGTCAACCTTGGCTATCTGAACACGAGAAACCTCGTAGAAGGTTCCTTCCTGCCAGTGCCGCTTCGCCACTCTCGCGCCTTGCCCCCACGCCGGCCGCCGCCATAGAATATCCGCCAGATTCTGCTTCCGCCGCCTCTTAACTCCTTTTCCTGCCGCATTACCATCCCCCTCTGCCCCCTCCCAAGCCGATTGCGATTCGGAACTCTCAGCTGATTGGTTCTCAAGCAGCGGACTTCCCGGGAAAAGCGGAAGCGGCTTAAGGCCCAAGCTGGCCAGTAGCGACTCGGCGCCAGATGCTTCGCGCGGTTTCGCCGCGGCGGCGGATCCGGCGGCAGATGCGGCGGGAGATGCGGCGGGAGAAGCGGAGAAGGTCGAGTGGACGGAGGTGGAGGCGAATCGGCAGGAGTGGAAAGACGAATTGGTAGTAACGACGTGTGACGCGGAGAAGTAGGTCGAAGGGGTATAGCGCGGTGCGAGGATATTCAGGGATTCCATGGGCGATTCGGCAACAGGGATGGGGAATGGCGCGGAGCAGAGATAAGGCCGCGGAAGGCCGGCTTCCGCGCAGAGATCTATCCGCGGAAGCCCATGGCGCGGGAGGGGAAGCGGGCCTTGCGCGGCGCAACCTATCCGCGGAAGCCCATGGCGCACGAGAGCACTTGCTAAGAGGCGCAGCGGAGCCTTTCGAGTCATCGCGAATGCGCGGAGCGATCCCCAGCACGCGCCGAGAAATGCGCGGACCGCGGGAGGATGAGATGTATGTCTGAGGGGGGGTGAGTAGGAGTGCACAGCGTGGTCAGATATCCTCGATAAGAGCGCAGAAGTAGAGCACGTATTGGAAACACATAGTTGTACGTTGGCTCATGGAAAATGAAAAGAGAAAGTGTTTAGTTGAGGTACACATGTTTCTAGACTCATAAATATATTTGAGGGGCTGTTGGCTCAGGGTGTCTCCATCAGGAGCCCCCGTTTTTCAGGGTCGGGTTTTGGAAGTTGCAATTTTTTTCAGGGTATTTTTTTTCGAAGGCTGAATGATCAGGACTACATTTTTTCACAGCTGAGATGATACGGTTGAACCTTGGCGATTTTTTAGGGTGGGTAGGATTTTAACCTAGCACATTATGTTAGACAAGGCATGTTTGTCAAACATATCTTAGTACCGTATTCCCCCGTATATAACACCCTAGGGTATTATCAAAAATTCGTTAAAAAAACGAATGGGTGTTAACAGTAGGCTGGAAAAATATAACGCCCATGTCTGTATAATGCAAAATGAATTTGGAGCGTAACATGCAGAGATACATGCACAGTACATGATGACACCTTAAGCGAGGTTTGGATGACGATCCCCAACCTCCACTCGGGCTAGCCTGGCGATAACGTCATGACGTGCTGCATTTGCAGCCACTACGAGGAAGCCGGTCCTGCCCGCACAATAGGAAAGCTGCCTCCTGCAACTGACAAGATTTCATCGACGGATAGGAATCTCGTGTTTTTACAACGTAACAGCAGCAGGTTGATGTGCGCGACCAGATTCCTTTACGGAATCTTCTTGATGGGACCAGCATGCATGGTCCCATCGCTTCTTGTAGAGCCGTGCGCGCTTCGGCTTGGGGCGTCGGCCACGGTTCTTCTCCAACCTTCTCTTGCCGCATCGTCATTCTTGCTCCTCGCTCCTCTCAGCCTCGATTAAACTCTTCGCAATGCCCGGGCTCTCTAACAGAGGCTCGAGCATTGCCTAATCTCGCCTAGCTCGCTATCCCCCGTCAAAATTTTCCCCCATGGCCGCTCGAGCACTTAGTGGTGTCTCACTTTTGCGAGCTCATCGCCCACCCTTCGGGAATCAGGCGTTGCTCCGTCCTTTCCCACCAGTTCCTTCGGCTCCTAGATATCTGCCTGCATCTCCCGCTCCTCCCGATCCTCTAGCGCCACCCGCGCCACCAGCGCCCCCTGCACCTCCTGCTCCTCCTGCGCCCCCGGCTCCCCCTGCTCCACCACCTCTCTCGTCGCCGGTGGTCACACGTCCCCCGGAGTGGGACAACGATTGGCAGGATGACGACGACCTGTTTTGGGAGGAGGCTGAGGCTGACGACCGCGAGCCTGAACCTTCTCGCCCACTTCCTCGCGTTATCGTGCCTCATTTCCCGCAAGCGCAACGGCGTTGTAATATGCCTCTTCGTAACCGTGATGTTGCACCTCCCTCCCCCAGGGCTCGCAGGACGAATCGCAAGCGACTCGCACGGACGGCAACTGAGAAGATGTACTGATTGGCGAAGTTGGAGGCGGACCCGGAGATGTCGAACCGCTCCCTTGCTCGGATGGCTGGAGTGCAGCCGTGCCAGATTCACGACGGGAAGAAGAACAAGACACGGCTCACTGCCTTGGCTGGCTGCAGGCGTCGCCTCATCGGCTCCGGTAGGAAGGCGAAGTACCCCACCATGGAGCGCGAGCTGTACAAGAAGTTCTTGGGCCAGCGCGCGCGAGGGCTGGCGGTCTCGATCGGCACGCTGCAGAAATGGAGTCGGAAGTATATGCGTAAGCACCACCCCGGCATCGGCTGGCGCGCCTTGTCACGGTGGACCTTCCGGTTCCGCGCGCGCTGGGGACTGATGAAGCGCGTGAAGACGAAGATGGGCCAGCGCATGACTGTAGCTATGTACTGAAATTTGACGTGTCGCGAATAATCCCTGCCCTCGTCATCTGCTCTAGCTCTCGTCGTGCTTCGCAGTTTGATTACCGTACTTCTGATTTGTCTGTTTCTTTTATTATTATTATTTTCATTGGCAGACTATGACGCGAAGGTCGAGAAGTTTTGGGAGTTCGTTCGGCAGCTCTGCATGCTCAACGACTACCCCGATGATCTTATCATCAACGCGGATCAAAAGCCACTATTCTTGGAGATGCCGCAGGAGACCACACTCGAAGTCCGGGGCTCGAGAACTGTTCATGTGCACACGGCCGGCTACGAGAAGGAGAGGTTGACCGTCATGCTGGCCGTCACAGCAAGTGGCAAGAAACTGAAGCCGTATGTCATCTTCAAGCGGAAGACACTACCTCGGTTCCGCGTCCTGCCCAGTGAGGATTTCGTGCCTGTTTTTTGTGCCACCACCGCAGATATTTTTCGTAACCGTCTTTCCAGGGCAAACTCTAATGTTTCCTACCTTGCGCTTGTGCAGGAATTGTGATCAAGGCCCAGGAGAAAGGGTGGATGGACGAGACTCATGTCAAGGACTGTCACCACCGTCCTGGTGACGTTTCTCCGCTCGATACCCTCACGATGCGGTGGCCGTCAGAAGGCTCTGGTGGTCCTCGATTCGTACAAGGGACACCTGACGGAGGGAGTGTCCCACTTGATGCGACTCTTCAAGCTATCCAGGGCTGTCATCCCCGACGGCTGCACGCCCATCGTGCAGCCTCTAGACGTGGCGGTAAACCGGTGTGTCAAGGCGCATGTCCGGAGGTCCTACAGCGAGTGGTTTGAAGAATTCGGCTGCGAGTCCACAACCCCTGCTAGTGAGTAACTTCTTCATTGTTTGGCTTTAAAACCTCTACCCGCGTCGTGATCTTTTAAACCATGCCTTGCATTTCTCCACCACTACTCCTAAAGCCCCCACCTATTGTCTCGTCGTTGTGTTTTCCCCTGTAGGGAATCTCCGCAAGCCGCCAGCCGAGCTCGTGCTGCAGTGGATTGCCGACGCCTGGGCCGCGGTGCCAGCTGAACTCATCCGCCGCGCGTTCAAGACGTGCGGCATTTCCAACGCGTCGGACGGCACGGAAGACGAGCTGATCCTCGCCCACATGCGGGACGACGCCTAGGTCGAAGTCATGGAGGACGTCCATGCCGAAATGGAAGAGAGCGGGGCGCTGAACCCATACTACGAGTCGGAATATGTGGAGCCGACCGCCACGCCCAGCTCAGAGGAAAACGATCCCGATGTCGAGGCTGAGACTGAAGCTACAGCAACTGCGTTATCATCCGGTGCATCGGGAGCTGCAACAGCCGCGCTAGCATCTGAGGCGTTTGGGAATCCAAGAGCTCGCACAGCATCAGCACCATCAAGCTGTACAGAAGCAGCGACAGAGGCGGAGATATCAGCTGCCGAAGGCGACGAAGGTCTAGAGATGCCTGCGGCGGAGGTTCTGGCGGGCCTGGCTGCGTCCCCGCTGGACTGATGACTTTGACTGGGATGACATCGCCAGTGACGACGAAGATGCCGAGGTGTGGCATGCAGGAGAGGACCACGATGAGGACAACGACAGAGACTAACTATTGACTTACCTGCTAGGACATAGCGCGTGGTAGAAGTGCCAGTCGGACGAGTCGAGAGGGAAACCTAGGAAGACACAGGGGACGGTACGGGAAGTGAGCTTGTCCATGCCAGAGGCACGAACGTGAGCAAGGCAGCCCCAGACGTGGAACGCTGATGCGTCACCAGGAGACCTGGTCCAGAGGAGGGTCAGCGAAACCTGCAGCCGCTAAGGGTGCGGCCACAGGTTAAGCTGGTGAGCGGCGTAGTGGACAGCGAACGGCCACAGAAAATGGGGTGCACCGGCATGGATCATGGAGGTACGAGCCACCCCCATGACCAGACCGATGCGTCGCTCAGCGACTCCATTCTGCTGCGAGGAGTCCATAAGAGCGTACGTCTGGGTGATGCCCTCCGTATGACAGAAACGACCAAGACAACCAGAGGCGAACTCGCCACCACGGTCAGAGTGAAGACGCAACACTAGGAGACCTCGGTGCACACATGCAGAGACTAGCCACTTTCCTGGCAGCCTCTGACAGGAAAGCAACCTCGTACTGCGGGTCCTCCAAGACGTCACTGCCGAGGGCAGGAGCAACCCCTGAAGGACGGAGGACAGACAGAGTCGGAGACCAGAGCAGTAGCGAAGTCAAGGTGGCGAGTAGAGGCAAAGTTAGCGACAGCAGCTACAAGAGCGTCAAGACTGGAGACAGGAACAAATGGGTCGGTAACGAGGGAGGCAAGGACCTGAGGAACAAGAGGACGAGCAGCACGAAGGTAGTCAGACAGAGGGGGAGGCGCGAAAGTTAGCGATGACCGAGGAGGCGAAGGCAAACAGGGAGGACGAGACGCGTGGGAACGAAGCAACATAGGGTGAGAACGCTGAACAGGAAAGACAAGACGAGCACGAGAGGGACGGCGAGACCAAACGTGAGACGGAGGCGTTGGGTCAAGAGACAGAGGAAGAGTAACAGGAGGGGAACAAGAGGGGAAACCAGCCAGGGACGAGTCCGGCGGAGGAAACACAGGACCGTGAACAGGAAGAGGGGGAGACGGCGAGGGAGGCGCAGGCGAGCGGTGAGGGGAGGGAAGGCCGAGCAGGCAAAGGGCAGACACCGGCGGCGACTGCTGCTGCTACTGCTCAACGCCGACACCTGGACCACCAGCTGCACCACTGCTACCTCCGGTACACTCCACGCCAGCACCCCCAGAATGAGAAATGTCTCCAGCGCCGGTGCCACCCCCGAGCCCGCCGGGACAAGCCACGACAGGAGCCCCAGGACTAGCGCCCTCTCCAACTCCAGCACCCCCAGAGTCCACGAACGGCGACGGCTGCGGCGTCGGCTGCGGCTGCGGCGGCGGTGACGGTGGCGGCTGCGGCGGTGACTGCGACGTGGGAGGAAGAGACACCGGGAGTAACGCTCAACTAGTGCAGCGAGAAGGTCCTTGGCGTTCGCGACAGCAGTAAAGCACGGACTGTGAGAGTACGACCCCGTTAC